ATTTAAAGCATATTACGTTCTTTCTTACATTTTGCAAGGGCTTAAGATGTAATAAATCATCTGTAGTAACACAAAAAAAATTTCTTATGGGAGCCCAAGAAAATGAATATCAAATTTCACAAAATTACATCTTACACATGGACTTTTTAGAATTTTACTTGTATAATCACAATTCTTGTGAAATTGATTTTTATTTTCCCGGACTTCCATGAGAAATTTTCTTTAGTGTTACTACAGATGATTTATTACATCTTTAGCCCTTGAAAAATGTAAAAAGAGAACGCACTATTCTTTAAATTATTCTGATACAAGATTTTTGTCCACTGAAAATTAAAATTACTCAATTTCCTGATGCATTCCTTCTTAAGCTTTTAAAGAAGTCTTTCATGTTATCTTAGGACAATGCAGCAAAAGCTAAAATCTCCTCTTTAACTGTTGTTTTTTCTCATTACGGTGTCTGGTGAAGCTCTTCTTTCTCGCTATATCTTAACGTTGATAATAGAAATATCTTCCCTTTCTTTGCGCAGAACCGAGACACTCTGATGTTTAATCCCTCAGCTTGGGCGTTTTCTGATTAGCAAATAGCCTTACTGGGTCTAAGTTTGCTATCCAAGATGAGAGCAAAAAGCGTCCTGTCAAAAAATAAAAAGGACACACATTGCAAACTTTATAACATCTAAGACTGTGCAAACGCCGTTTTTGTAAAAGCTGCTTTGGCCCGAATTGATATCAAGCTCCAATGCTAAACCTCTTGTGGGATAGAAAATTGTTAAGAAAGGTAAAAATCCAGAATTCAGAATTCCAATGTTTGGAAAAGCCAAAGTTAAGGTTTCGAAGAGCCAAAATCCAGATTTTCAATGTTTGGAAAAGCCAAAAATAAAGAATTCTAATGTTCGGAATAGCCGAAGTTCCTATTTCCAATGTTTGAACAAGCCAAAAGTTTGGTAAAGCCAAAATTCGCAGTCCCAATGTTTCGAAAAGATTCCAATGTTTGGAATAGCGAAAATTGCTAATTCCAATGTTTATATAAGCCAGATGTTTGGAAAAGGAAAAATCCAGAATTCCAATGTTTGGAAAAGCCAAAACTGAAGAATTTGATTGTTTGGAAAAGCCAAAATTCACAATTCCAATGTTTGGAAAAGCCAACAATAAAGAATTCCAATGTTTAGAATATCCAAATTTCCTATTTCCAATGTTTGGAAAAGCCAAAGTTAAGGTTTCGAAGAGCCAAAATCCAGATTTTCAATGTTTGAAAAAGCCAAAAATAAAGAATTGTAATGTTTGGAATAGCCAAAGATCACAATTGCAGTGTTTGGAAAAGCCAAAATTCTCAATTGCAATGTTTGGAAAAGGAAAAGTCCAGAATTCCAATGTTTTGCTGAGCCAAAATTTTCAGAATTCCAATGTTTGGAAAAGCCAAACTTCGCAACTGCAATGTTTAGAAAAGTCCAAACTAGAGAATTCCAATGTTTGGAAAAGGAAAAGTCCAGAATTCCAATGTTTTGCTGAGCCAAAATTCGCAATTCCAATGTTTGGAAACGCCAAAATTCAGAATTCCAATATTTGGAAAAGTCAAAATTCACAATTCAAGTGTTTGGAAAACCCAAAAATAAAGAATTCAAACCATTGGAATAGGCAAAATATTTATTTCCAATGTTTGGAAACGCCAAAATTAAGAATTCCAAGGTTTGGAAAAGCCAAATATAAGGAATTCCAATGTTTGGAATAGCCAAAATTCCTAATTCCAATGTTTGGAAAAGGAAAAGTCCAGAATTCCAATGTTTTGCTGAGCCAAACTTCACAATTCCAATGTTTAGAAAAGCCCAAACTAGAGAATTCGAATGTTTGGAATGGCCAAAATTCGCAATTCCAATGTTTGGAAACGCCAAAAGTCGCAATCCTAATCTTTGGAAAAGCCAGAATTCACATTTCCAATGTTTGGATAAGCGAAAGTTCACAATTCCAACGTTTGGAAAAGCCAAAATTCAGAATTCCAATGTTTGGAAACGCCAAAATTCACAATTCCAATGTTTGGAAACGCCAAAATTCACAATTCCAATGTTTGGAAAAGCCAAAATTCACAATTCCAATGTTTGAAAAAGGAAAAGTCCAGAATTCCAACGTTTGGAAACGCCAAAATTCACAATTCAAATGCTTGGAAAAGGAAAAGTTTAGAATTCCAATGTTTGGAATTCCCAAAATTCCTAATTCCAATGTTTGGAAAAGCCCACACTAGAAAATTCTAATGTTTGGAATAGCCAAAATTCGCAATTCCAATGTTTGGAAACGCCAAAATTCAGAATTCCAATGTTTGGAAAAGCCAACATTCACAATTCCAATGTTTGGAAAAGCCAAACATAAAGAATTCCAGTGTTTGGAAAAGCCAAAGATAAAGAATTCCAATCTTTAGAAAAATTAATATTCGGAATTCCAGTGTTTAAAAAAGCCAAAATTCACAATTCTAATGTTTGGAAAAGGAAAAGTACAGAATTCCAATGTT